ACAAGAGATGAAGGGGAAACCAGGATATTCTCAGATAAAGGTAAACTAAAAGAATTTGTCGCCATCACAACTACCCTAAAACAATGGCTAATGAAAATTCTCTAAAAAGAAAGAAAACATAAAAGAAGGGACTTTGGAATATCAGGAAGGAAGAAAGAACAATGTAAATACAACACACTTTCCTTCTCCTCTTGAGTTTTCTAAATTATGCTTGATCGTTCAATGAAACACAATGTTGGTTCTTTAAAAAGAACCGTAAAATTGACAAAACTCTATCAGGACAGATGGGTAACTAAATATGAAAGGACACAAATCACCAATATCAGGTAATAAAAGGGGATATCATTTCAGACTCTGCAGACATCAAAAGGATAATAAAGTAATACAATGAACAACGCTACACACATATTTTTGAAAACTTAGATGAAATGGACCAATTCTCTGAAAATCACAAACTGCCCCAACTCACAACACAATAGAGCTCATTTAAATAGTCTTATAACTTTTGAGGAAATTGAATTCATAATTTTAAAACCCCCAAAAAAGAAAACTAAAGACCCAGATGATTTTATTGGATAATTCTCCCAAATGTTTAAAGGACTAACACCAATTCTATATGAAAAGCCAAAGGAACTAAAACAATCTTGAAAAGGAATAAAGTGAGAGGAACCAATCTACCTGTACATAAGACTTATTGTATAACTAAAGTAATATAATTAAACCTAGATGAGTCTGTAGAGAATTATGCTGAGTGAAAAAAAAAGTGCTGATCCCAAAAGGCTACATGTATGATTCCATTTTTATAATATTCTTGAAATGATGAAATTAAAGTATAGGAGAAAAGATTAGTGGTTACCAGGGAAATTAGATAGTGCTGGGGAGGGAGGAAAGTGGGTGTGGCTATATATAAATATATATGGTAACAGATCCTTGTGGTGATGGAAATGTTCTGTGTCTTAGCCGTATCAATGTCGTTATCCTGGCTGTGATAGTATATTATGATTTTACAAGCTGCTACCATTGGGAAAAACTGGGCAAAGCATTCACAGAATTTACTGTATTATTTCTTGCGACTGCATGTAAATCTACAATTATCTCAAAATAAAAACTTTAATTATAAAAAAAGGAGACAAGAGCCAGCTTGAAGAGGTTCCCACTGGTAAATTGGGGATAATTTGAGCACCAAAATAATTAAAAGCTGTAATAAATTATAAATAATTGAAAAGACTAGGAATCCACTAGTACATACTAATGACAGAGAGCTAGAGAGATGGAGAGAGAGAGAGAGAAAAGAAGAGGGAGATGAAGAGGAAGAGATAGAGACAGACAGGCAGACAGATGGACAAGGAAGAAGAAAGGGCTGTTGCTTACAGCAAAATCTAAAAAGACAAAAAACAAAAAATGAACCCAAGCTCTGACATATAAAGAACAGACTGTAGTTGCCAGAGGCAAGAGGTGAGGGGGCAGCTGAAATGAGTGAAGGGGGTCAAAAGGTACAAACTTCCAGTTATAAAATAAATAAGTCACAGGGATGTTATGTACAGCAAGGTGACCACAGTTAATACTGTATTGCACATCTGAAAGTTCCAAAGAGAATAGATCTTAAAAGTTCTCATCAGAAGGAAAAAAAAATTTTGTAACCACGTATGGTGAGGAATGTTAACTAGACTTGTTACGGTGATTTTTTCGTGATAGAAATAGCAAATCATTATGTTGTACAACTGAAACTACTATAATGTTATATGTCAATTATACCTAAATCAAAATAAAAAAGCCCAACTGGCAAATGTAGAGGAAGCACTAGAGTTAAGAATTCATCATTTTGTAACCATCATAGTCTAGCTTGGTTTATGAAAAAAATCATCAAAGGATGCTAAGTTGGAGGGAGGGGTTTCTGATAAGGAATAGTAATTTAGCATAATCTTAAAGTGACTCGACTCCACATAGACTACTTATTTCTTGAAATGAAAAGAAAAAAAAAACTGTACAGGGGAGAAATCAGGCAATACCTGGATGGTCAAATTAACATCACCCAAAAAGGGCAGATGAATATTGTGTGTCTCCCGTGTGATCCTCCAAGGACACAACATTACTTGTGTACTAGTCTGACTGTGGATGCATAACCTGAATGAGGAATCATCAGACAGACCCAAAATGGAGAACACTGTTATTTTTAAAAAGGGAGAGATTATACATTCTTCAAAAGTATAATATCATAAAAGAAACAGAAAGGCTGAAGGTGAAAAGATACTAAAAAGCCATGACAACTATATGCAATGTGTGATCCTAAACTGAATTCAATGCAAGAGGGGAAAACCACCGCTATCAAGGACATTACTGGGTCAAGTGGCAAAACTGGGTGTGGATAGTAGATCTGATAAAACTGCAACATCGATGTTAAATTACTTGAAGTTGATAATTGTACTGTGTTTATGTAAGAGAATGTTCTTATTTTTAGGAAATACACACTGAAGTATTTGGGTATAAAAGAACAGCAGTATGTGCAACTTTCAAATGGCTTTAAAAAATTGAGAAGGACAGTAACACCAGTGAGGAAAAATACTACCAACAGATGAAACTAAAGGATATAAGGGTATTCTTTGAACTATTCTTGAAATTTCTGTCAGTTTGAAATTATTTCCAAATAAAATAACTTTTAAAGTTCTTTGGCTTTTGTTAACCTATCAAAAAGAACTAAGAGGGCTTCCCTGGTGGCACAGTGGTTGAGAGTCCGCCTGCCGATGCAGGGGACACGGGCTCGTGCCCCGGTCCAGGAAGATCCCACATGCTGCGAAGCGGCTGGGCCCGTGAGCCATGGCCGCTGAGCCTGCGCGTCTGGAGCCTGTGCTCTGCAACGGGAGAGGTCACAGCAGTGGGAGGCCCGCGTACCGCAAAAAAAAAAAAAAAGAGAACTAAGAGATGTGCATACCAATTTAGATGGGATAGGTCCCTAAAAAGTACAATAATAAGAGCATAGGCTTCTGAGTTAAGACAAATTTGGGTTCAAATCCTAGCTCTGCCCTTATTAGCTGACCTCAAGAAGTCTCAATTTCTTCATCTATAAAATGCAGAAAATAATGCTTACCTCATAAAATTATTTTGAGGATTAAATGAAATAAGGGCTGTAAAATATTACAATGTCTGGCATATAGTCATCATTCCACAATGCTATTTATTATTTTTATAGCTGAGTAGTGGTGATACTTGTGATGGTAGTTATTGTGGTGGTGGCCAGAAAGCCATGGAAATACAAAGACGACCAAAATATGATTCCTGACCTCAAAGGACTTAAAAAAATAGAGCTGAACCACAAACTACAGTGTGTCACATAAGTGCAAACAAACTGTTGCTGGAGCAGAAACAAAAGTGTATTTACTTCTTCTGGGGAGTGGGTCAGGAAAGACTTCTCAGGGAAGGTAATGGTCAAGTGAGCAGTAGAGGGTAGGTTAGGATTTCACCAGGCAGAGGCGAGGGTGAGTGTTTGGGGCCATCCTGACGCAGGTAACAGGTATGGGCTGAGGGCTCAAGGCACATGTGGGAAGCAGGGGAGGCAGAGAGAAGTGTAGAATGGGGCTGGAAAGTACACCCAGGACCAAGCTGGGGAGGGTGAAGGGCTTTGAATGTAACATGTAGGGTTTCACTGTTTTCTGGGTGTGGTGGGAGAACCACTGGAGGTTTTTGGGTAAGGGACGACAGGACTGGATCGTTGTCATGAAAATGCCACTGGGCTAGGGTGTCAGTGTGCAAATGGATAGCTTGTGGAGAGCAGGCAAAGGACACACAGTATTTCAACACTTTAACAACCAGGACCTGTGCTTTCCAGCTGTGCTTGGGCCCTGCACCTCTTATCCCAGGGTTTCTCTTAACCAGACTATCTATCCTCAGCTTATATAACTCAGGCTGGCCCAGACAGTGCTCTCCTTACCAGAACCTTCTTGGCCAGGAAAGTCCCCTTGAAGGTAAGGCTTTCTGCCCACACTGGGCAGTACCATTTGTATTTTATGTTGTACAGTCAAGGTGCCCCATGCAGTCTACACACAGGACTGGACTTAAACATCAACTGTGGATGTTATAGATGAGCCATTACATTTCCCTCTCTTTACTTTGTTAATTTTTGGGGATATAAGAAAAAGACATGGGGACTTCCCTGGTGGCCAGTGGTTAAGAATCCGCCTGCTAATGCGGGGGACACAGGTTCAAGCCCTGGTCTGGGAAGATCCCACACACCACGGAGCAACTAAGCCCGTGTGCCACAACTACTGAGCCTGCAATCTAGAGCCCATGAGCCACAACTACTGAGCCTGCATGCCACAACTACTGAAGCCTGCACACCTAGAACCCGTGATCCACAGCAAGAGAAGCCACCACAATGAAGAGTAGCCCCCACTTGCGGCAACTAGAGAAAGCCCGCGTGCAGCAACGAAAACCCAATGCAGCCAAAAATTAATGAATAAATAAATTAATTAATTTAAAAAAAAAAGAAAAAGACATGAAAGTTTTAATTCACTTTTTTTTTTTTTTTTTTTTTTTTTTGCGGTACGCGTGCCTCTCACTGCTGTGGCCTCTTCCATTGTGGAGCACAGGCTCCGGACGCACAGGCTCAGGGGCCGTGGCTCACGGGCCCAGCCACTCCGCGGCATGTGGGATCTTCCCAGACCCGGGCACGAACCCGTGTCCCCTGCATCGGCAGGCGGACTCTCAACCACTGCGCCACCAAGGAAGCCCTAATTCACTTTTTAAAAGGATACTCTAATCAAAATGGGGCTCTTCTGGAGTTTATGTCTTACTTCATCTATAACTAGTTTGGTAGGACTCATGCTTCTCCCATTTGCAGTAAGAAGGAAGAACAATGTATTTCCCTAGGATATTCTCCCTTAACTCTCAAATTTACTAGAAAGTGATTGGAAGGTGAGCTGAGATTTAAATCAACAGGACCAAACAATGGCTCCAGGGGGCTCATTCAGTGGTCAGAAGGGCCTGTCCCCTGCTCCTGCCATTACCTCGGAGGCGATGGAGGTGAAACTGCTGCTGAAGTGCACGTGCTTGTGCATCTCGCTGCCGTTGGCCGTCAGGAGCCAGGCCCCTAGCGCCTGGTCCTCACCAGCCGACCGGTTGCTGTGGCTCTGGTTCGGCAGGAGCTCCGCCAGGTCCCAGTGGTACGACGGTGTGGCCCCGACCAGCGCAATGAGGATGGCCTCCGTGGCCACGTAGAGCTGAAAAGAGGAAACACAATTAGTAAGCTCACAAACCTTGAAAGAGCAGGTCTCGCTTTTATGTCTGTAGGAGCTACAGAAACGAGACGCTTCAGAAACAAAGGAAAAAAACAAAAGGAAGTTTCCTGATCTACTACTAACGGAGCCATCAGCAATCCCATCTGTAAAGCACCTTCTACTTCCTCCGAAGGTTTTCTTCTACATTTGAGATACATCTGATGCTGAGGACACGGCACATAAATGGTTCCGCAGTGGCAGGGAGTTGGGGAGGGGGTGATATTACTGGCTCTGATTTAGAAGACTAACATTCCAGCTCTTTTCTCCTGACCACTACACCTCAGTTCAGATAAGCAGTCACCGGGGCCCAGGAGTATCTTGGTCTTGAATTCACGATCTAAACAAGAAAACATGTTGTGGCATAGTTAAATGTTTCCAAAAAGTATGTGTTTGTACACACACACACGCACACACACGGGGAGGACAGATGCTCTATTAAATCAGGGAAGCATTATACGCACTTGAGTAGGCACTAAAGTATAGTATACAACTTATAAGATGTAAAAAATTCAAAATCCCAGGGATAGGTACCCACTTTATAACCTTTAGCTGTAGTAATTATTGTTTAGTCTAAACATAGTTTCCCCCTAAAGAAAAAATTATTTCATTCATTCGTTCAAGGAATATTTATTGAGCACATACGACATTTGTCACTGACTGTTTTGGGCTTTCTGGCAATTCACAATTGGGTTTACAAGCTGTTGGGCCCTGTACAGCGTTTTAATGCTATAGATCCATTCATATAACTCTCCTTGGATGACTGTTTCAAGCTTAAAATTTATTAGGAAAACACAGAAATAGTCTGTTCCATAGTGAGACAATCTTATTTGAAGCAATCGCTATTCAAAAAAATTTTTTTAATTAAAAAAAATTATCACTATTAACTTAGAACTTAATGTCTCAAAATAGCTTTAAACAGAGTAAGTGCTTAAAAAACACAAAGCATGTGATTTCGGTACAGCATGTGGTAACACTCCCACTGGATGGACGAGGTGACTGCTGCATGAAAGGATGGAGAGACCTGCCCACAGCATTATCTCCACTGTCAGGGAACTCCCAGCTCCTTCCACACCCTTCTGGAGGGGCATGTTCAGCTGTTAAGGGGATAAGCTAAAGCACCAAAAGAAGAGTAATTTATCACAAGTAGATGATGGAATTACTGACAAGGAAAGAGAAAACAAGTCATGGCGTTGTGTGTGTCACAACAGCTAATGTAAAACCCAAGATGTGATTTTTCCCCTCTCTGCCAAGGCTGCAAGGCTGTAAGGCAGCCCCAATCTATTGTGAGTCGGATGACTGTGGGCCTCTGGAGATGCACAAAGCTGCCACAGGTCAGTCTGCGTGTGTGATTTACGGTAAAACGCAAAGGAAAACACGTTTCTCGGTTTATATTGCTTCCTGGCCCCTATTTGCATACTATTAAGGAAGTTTTCAGGACAGGAGGTAATCAGCTTACAAAAACGGAAACCTTAATAATTACAAGAAGAGGTAGATTACACATTTAGCTATAATTACAAAGCCACTTGCACCCATTTTAGTAACTGCCCTTCCTGATTACAATCTGCTGAAATTTAATTCATGGGTAAAGAAATGAAAAACAAAAAATGGGGAAAAGGGAACTCAGGAGATGATGCAAAACACATGTTCCAGTAAACGCACAGCCTTCAATCTGGCAAACCTAACTAGTTATATTTTTTTCTCTAAGCGTGCTCTTTTCTGCTTTTGTTCGTACCATTCACTTCACCTAGAAAGCACTTTCTTCTGCTGTGAATGTCTGAACCTTTCCCATCCTCCAAGATGTAACTCAGATGCCCCCTCCTCCTTGCCACCTCCTACCACCTTGCCTTCCCTCCAACCCCTCCAGAAGCCCTCTCCTGCTTCTGCTCACCTCCAAAAGTTCCATTTAGACCTTTCTTAGAACCCATATCATTTTCTTCACTGCACTATATGTATCTGCTTGTCTTATTTTTTCTATTGAAATCTACCCTCTCTGAGGGCAGGATCTGTGTCTGATTCACCTTTAGGCTCCCAAAGCAAATAACTCAGGGCCTAGATAGATGATATCACACATTCAACAAGTCCATGGATGAATGAATGACCATAACAGAATACTAATAACAACAGCAAACACTTCTCTAATGCTAACTATATGCCAGGTACCATTCTAAGTACTTGGTGAAAATATGTTAATGCATCTTATTTTTATCTGTATTATTCTAGAATAAGCAATGTTCTGTGTAAAACAGGAAGTGCTCCAAAGGGTCCTCTAATCTGAGGTGTATTTCATTGTGGAGGCTATCAATCTTGGAAGAAACTACAATGTGCAGAAAAAAAGTTAAAAAACAAAGAGGTGGTGCTGATATATACCCTTATTTATAATGCAGGGAGCAGTGAAACCTAGCTAATCAGTATTATCTGTATTAATCAGTATTATCCTTAGCAGTCAGTAGGTTGAAGAAGCACTTTCCTCCTTTCTCACTTTCTCTGCTCTCTTCCTACCCCTCACAATGTTTCCATTACCCACCCCATGTGAGCACACACACACACACACACACACACACACACACACACACAGGGACCTCACAGAATACACAGGGCCATGGCTTTGTGTCACCAGAGGGGTCGGAAACATGCAGCTCTTCCTTGCTGTGCCAGCCTCCATAACGTAGCGTCAGCCTTTCTGTCTTTGACACAAATGGCCATGCCTGGTTTTGCTAAAGGTAAAAGAGAGAGTAGGCAGGCATCTATAATACATGCTAACTATGAAAGGTGAAAGGGACATCATGAGGATTAGGTAAAAGAGGAGATGCTTAAACTCTGCATACAGATTACTGTTAGGTACTTTACACCAGAGCCACATACATGGGTCACATGGTCCTACGAAGTCAAAGATGGTTTAGCCCTGAGCTAGTCCAGGGGATGCACCACCTATACAAGGCACATGGAGCGGTTTTCCTCGGTTTGCGTCTGCGACAATGTCACGGAGCTCTCATCTTGCTTCTTCCCCCAGAGTACAAACACTCTCCCTCTCTTCCCTCTGCTGTGACTCTGTGCACACATTCACTACGTAGCCTTGTCTAGAGAATTGCACCCATCAGCAGATGGGTCTTAAAGCCACAATGAGAAACCACCATCCATTCTCCTTCGGGGTGGGACCAACATCTCAAATAAATCATTATCTTCTCTAGTGCTACCTCCAGGGAAGGAGAACGAGTGCCACAGATGGCGGGACTGATTTTTCCCCTTCAATGTAATTATAATTAGAAAAGTGACTAAGATGCACTGGGGGATTGAAATTTTTAAAGTTTCAAAAGTGAATGCTTTAAAAGTAATTTTACACTAACAGCATTATAAGCCTTTATAATACTCAGGAAACCAAAAATGTCTCCCATAAATTATCTCATCACAATATCTTGTGCTGGTGAAGTCATGGTAAATATGATGTTTATGTTGTAAGTGGGAAAGATGAGCCACAGAGTGATTAAATGAATGTTCAAGGGAACGTAAAACACTAATGGCAAAGCCAGGATGAGACTGGGAGCCACCTAACTTTGGGGCCAGAGCTTTTTTTCAGAGAAAAAGTTGGGGGGAGGGATCAAAGATGATTTCATTGTTGTCATCACTCAGTTATCTAATTGACTCAATCAAAAGCATTACATGAGTATGACCACATCACGAAGGCAGCACCCAATGTCCAGGGCCCAGCACAAAGTGGGTATTCAATAAATATCTGTGGAGTGACTTACTGATACTATTTCTTGTGTTTAAAAAATTTAATTACGCCCTGAATAACAGATGCCTCTAAGTCCCATTTCTTCCCTGACTCTGATTTATCCACATGATGCCACCAGATCAGTCTCCCTGAGACATTCTTCGTGAAACTCTTCTGGTCAAAACATACTAATGGATAAATGATAGCTGTCCTAGCACCCAGATATCTACCACATGACCCGATGGCTACCTTATCTGCATCCAGGCTTTCTGTACTAGCCTGTTCAGTTCCCCAAACAGGACTTTTCATTGTGTGCTGTGAAAAGCATATGGGATCTGTACACCTGAGTCTGAATCCCAGCTCTAGTAAACGTCCAGCAAATCAAAACCTTTCTAAACTTCATGTTTTCTTCCAGAAGACTGGACACTGGCAGTACATCTTTATCTAGTTCATTCATATCTAACTAACCTAATCTGAAGGTCAGAGGGATTTTTCTTTAGCCAACATCACACAGTAAATCGCATAGCACCATCCAAATAGCATCTATCAGCGCCTCCCAATTTTAACGTTCAGAGTGTGACTCTGCAGGCCGGGATGAGACCTGAGATCCTGCTTTTCTAACAAGCTCTGGTGAGGTCAAGGCTGATGGTCTGGGCCACGCTTCGTGTAACAAGGGTCTAGGTTATTCCCTCTTCTATACTTTCTCCAATGTTATGTTTCTCCACCTGAAACGGCCTACCCACTTCTCTCTTAACCCAAGCTTCAAAGTTCAGCTCAAGCTCAACTCTCTTTCTGAAGTTTCAACAAACCACTCTAGACCATGCTGATGTCTCTTTCTTAATGTCTAAAGCATTCAGTGGCTGTATTATTTACTAGGGAAATATTACTTTGTACCATTATTTAACAGTATAGATATAATTTTTTCTCTTCTAATGATCTGCCATCTCCTGAAGAAAATAAAACCCTAATTTCTACTTCTATATCCTTTCAAGAAACCCAACACACTACTGTGTACATAACAGGCTATAATATATTTGGTTAACTAATTCCTTGCATAAGGGTGTGGCAAAGAAAATGATGATGGATTAAAAACCAGTAATTATGGGACCTAATCTTGGTTCCAACCACTAATTAAGACCTTGGACACATTATTTGACCTGCATCAGTTTCCCTCTCAATCTCCCAAATAAAATGGGAATGCCACCACCTGACCACCTTCCTTCTGTTATTT